CTTTTGCCATAGAGGAGATTAATTAACAGGCACCAGACCTACTGGCCTGGCCCATCAAAACTCTGGGCTATAAGATCTATGATTGCTGTGCTCTATTGCCCAGAGGTGTGAGGTTGCAGCTGGCCTTGGCTAATGACAATGAACATTGCAATGCCGCAACCCTCTGATGCTCCCATGTACCAGACCTGCCCCAAGTGCAAGCCCAATTATGGGAGAGACTTGCTTCTCTCCCTTCATGGCTATAGCTACTGTCCATCGGAGCCCCTTTCATATCGCCACTGGTGGGTAAGAATGGTAAAAATAAAATTATATGAGCCAAAAAATAAATTATTGTTTTGTAATTCTTTCAACTGATCATAGCTAAATGGGTTAGACAATAATGTTGTATAGTGTTTAAATGTTTTAATATTTGAAATTTTATCTTTCTTTTAGATCAGCTCATTTTGCTACCTTGTGCTTGTCTCAGTGATAAAACCAAGTACCGCATCCCTTCCTCAGAAAACCCAATACCCAGTGACTTACCTACGCAGAGCAGGAGCCCTGGCCCCCACCTTGGTCCAGCACTTTGTTGGACCTTGGGTTGGAGCTAATTAGAACAAATGATGATTATGGCAATAATGGTATGGCCACCCATTCACAGAAACTGCCCAGCAGCTGGGCTCCTGTCTGGAATACTCTTGTAGCCTTTCCCCCTTTCGAACAGTATCCACCGCAGTCAAAATACAAAAGTTAGTAGACAAATTTATCAAGGCTCCCACCTTCTAAGGTGATTGTTGCTTTTCCCTCCTCAACACATGGGATATGGATGGTGCTATACATGAGTTGTCCTCAAAAACAAAAACCTTTTGACTGGGTAGGGCCAGTGGGTAGGCAGTGAGAGTTGGAATTTTTGATTCCCCAAACTCGGCAGGCCATGGATAGGCATCATTATTTGGATGGTGCCATAGGTGCTATTCATCCGCAAAAGGCCACAAGTCAGTGGCATGAAAAGAGTTCATGTTTGAATGTGAAGCCACTCAAATTCATCAAGTAATGAATTGTTTAGCCAGATTTTGGGAGACATTAATTTAGCTGTAAGTTCAAGGGGCAGTCAAAGTCCTCAACAGGGAATCAGAGTAAATGTACTGGAACGAATGAAGATCTGACTGGAGTGCAAAACAGCTTCACTGATATGTCCACTCATGGGCCTATATGTTACAATGTCTACTAAAGGAGTGTATGCTGTGGCTTACCGCACTTTCAATAATATTCTGCAGCTGTAATAAAACATGTAACCACAGTGCAGCTAGATCCATTCAGGCTGAGTTGAACACCAAGGATCTTATATTAAGTGCAGGCATTAACAGCATTTTGAAAAATAAATTGTTTGCACTAAAATCAGGCCTCCGAAGTAGTGAGACAACATTTTAAATAATTGTTTTCGCCCAGAATAATGATCCCTACCATTGATGGCATGATTTTGTTAGATTTTTTACAAGGGCAAATAAGAAAAATTCATTTCAAAACCAAAGGAAGGGGAAAATGAGGTTTACTTTAATGAAGTATGGAGACCGCCAGGGGCAGCAAAGTATGAAATAATAAATCTGGCAGCCAACAGAAAATGGCATTGTGGACTTTGTCAGCAGTTGGTCTTCAATGATGGGCATCTTTACGCTGGCAGAGCAAAGCAGCTGAATCTGCCAAAAGAAAAGTCTAATATGGGCACCAGAAACTCACAAAACAGGTAAAACATTAATCTGATCATTGTAATTGTTAATGAAAGCTATTTAAAGTTTTGTTTTGATCACTGAATTGATTTGATTTACACTTTTCTATAATTGTGTTTTGTTCACCAGCAAGGTGCCAAAGTGTCAGTGTGCACGTGAGAAATGTTCCTCCCCGGTAAGACTCGCAAAGTTGCTCCAGATAGGAAAGCCTTCCTGCTGGGGCATAGTGACTGTTTAAGATGTGGCAGAGGGAAAATGCAGGCAACATGCACAGGTGTAGACCAAAACACACATAAATTTTTTTAATTTTAATAAAGAATTTAAAAAGGTGCCAGTGTGTAACATTTAAGGAGAATCTAGTGGAATAAACTGATTATACTATATATAATATTTTTCATGAGTATATCATCACCTGAAAATCAGGAATCATAATGTTTTTGTTACCTTAAGAACGAAGTGGTTTTTAATCTACAGATGCTGTGGGTCCGCCTAGCGTGGGGTCTGCTAATGTTGAACCAACAAAATGTTTCTACATACAGTTTTTTAATGCATTTGCAGCCCTTAAAAGGGGAGGTTGAAGCAAGGGAGTTGTAATCTGGCAACTACGCTGCTATAATGCCCACTAAAAGGCAAACCCTTAAGCCAAACTAAAACAAAAGAGTAGAGAGAATTAACGCTGTAATTACAAATCATACATTAACATTACTATTCCTACCTAGAAGAATACTGATAAATAAATAATCTGCTATATACATTTTATGAGTTTGGCAGAAATGCCATATCATATTAAATCGCGCCAATGTGAAAAATGTATAAAACTCAAAGCAATCAAGAATCAATAATGTAATGATTATGAAATTAAATCAATATTGCAATGATAATGTTGAAATTATAAAAATGGATTTTAAAAGTCAGCACACTTAAATTACAGAAAAAGATGTATGAGTTTTGAAGAGGTTTTTACCATTGATCTCTCCAGAAACTTGCATAAATGCAATTAAGAATTGATGAAGAGAATTTAATAGAGCCAAAGCCAAAAAGCATAGCCTGGGCAAACTGGAACTCTCTGAAATTCAAACTTTATGCAGAGAGTTATAAATAAAATAAATAAAATAGTTGGATTGCCAACAAGTTTGACTTTAAGTAGAAATAACAGCATAGTAAACAAAAGCATTTGAATGAATTAATAAGCACAGCAAGGAATATTTCCTCCCTCAGTTTGATAACTTTTTTTGTAACTGTTTTGTATCTGTACTCACATCCTCTTAGAAATTTTAAATCTAAAAAATATAGAATTATAATATGATATGAATAATTTACCTGGTGCATTGCAGTGGCAGTGGTTTGTGAGTGTAGGTGTCCTGTCTGTCTTTCCAGCTGCTGTGGAAAGAGAAGACTCCCCCCAACATAATGTTTCCATTCTTAAATAGCTGAGGGTTCTCCAGATCCCCTCTCCATCTGCACACTGACTCCTCAGCCTGAGAGAAAGACACTACCAACAACAGATGTAGAAGTGCCCAACCCTGCTCTGGCCACCTCTGTGTGGACGTCATACTGACAAAGAGAGCAAAGCCACAGAGTGGCATCACATGAACCAAAAGATGCAGTGGTATTTATACATTTTGGAAGAGCATAAAAACAACAATAGTCTTATCTCTGTGGATGTATAAGTTTGGGCAAGAAAAGGGGAGGTGTCAAAGCAGAAAAAGAGTTTAGGGCCTCTATTTTAAATATTTTATCTCACATGGTAGAGCATGTAACATGTATAAAGGCCTTAACACTACTATACACAAATAAATACACTGCTGCATGTCATCCCCTCACTCGTTCCCCTACTCTTCCCTTCTCTATCTCCAGAAATATCACCAAAAACGCAACAACTATACTTCATCAGACAGGAATATACAATCTTCTTAATCACTAATGTATCATTACTGAGACAGAATTGTTACCTAAACTTATAACTGAATTTTAAACATTGAAAAATATTGCAGGATTATTATTAGGCTCACTAAAATGATAAATACAACATACAGTTTGGGTCAGAGATGAACACACCTGCAATGACTAAAATCAAGCAATAATAGTTTCCATGAGAGATTCAAAACAACAAAGTGTTGAAAATAGCATGAATATAGTTCATCTATCCTTGTTTTGTGTTTTTTTCTTCCAGTCTGTTTTGGGGGCCTACCTTTATTTCATTTTAATTTAAATGTCGAAACAACATGGTAAATCAAAAAAGGGAAGAATTACACACGTTCCACTCAAAGGTCCAGTAAGGTTTGCACATTGCAGATCTGCATTTATGCCTCATATGTTTTTGGCCTGTGGCTTTCTGTAGTTCTTAACACCAAATATTAGAAGGCAGAAAGAAATAAAAATGTAGACTAAGTTATAAGAGTGTGGTGGAAAATTAATTCAGGGATGAGGGTCCGTGAACATGAAGCCAACTTTATTTAGTTCATCCTCATGTATTTACACTCACTGTCTAACTCATGTTAGGAGAATTGTTATTCATGGTGCCATGAGTTAATTACATTCCAAAGACGGCTGTCTGGGAGAGAGTTGGGTTTCAGATGTGTTATGACTACTGTTTATCAGACATAACCCATCACCAACAGTGACCCTTGGTATAATAATATTCATTGTGCTTTTATCACCTTAGAATGAACCTTTTTTTAATCAACAGACACCGCGGGTCGCCTTCCATGTTGAACCGACATGTTTCTACAGTAGCCCATAAGGGACACACTAAACACTGGCTCTACATTGGGCTGTTGTAACAAGTTTCATGGCCACCATAGTTTATCCTCTGTGCTTGAAAGATTAGGGTGGATCATAAGTTGTGATCAATTTATGAGCAATCTAGAAGATTGTTCTCCATGTGCCAGCTTATCCGGCAGCTTTCTCCAACCTGAAGCTGAATCTCTTGGTGCCAACTACTTTTCCTGGCCTCCAGGCTTGCAAACCTCTAGAGCGATCCAGCATTTGTCGCCAGTACACTGGCCATCTTCCTAAGATCACTGCCTGGATTCTAGAGCTCCCAGGCTACTTGCCCCTGCATTTTATGTATTCATCAGTAAAAACCACAAAACAGATTATATTAAAGTTGGATATAATTAAGATTATATTGGAAATTGAATTATGCTAGCTTGGTGTTAGTTATTCTGCTGCAAACTAACTGGAAATGTATTTACAGCTGCCTTATTACAGTGTAACCAACAAGTGTATTTACTTGAGAATGTGCCCCAAACACTGTTTTACGTTTTACCTGTGAATGCTCTTTTTTCTGTAAAGAGCAATTTAATGTTGTTTTGTTTTGTTTTTTGCCTCACTCTCTAACTAACAATAACACCATGTTAACATTATGTTACCAATATAATCTTTTTTTTGTCAACCTTTAATGCCATCATACTTTGGTTTATATAACTACGATTATTAGACTTTTTTACTTTTCTTCTAGCTAGCAACTGGCTGACTGCTGACTGCTGACTGATCTTATGATTGACTGAACAGCCTAATTGGTTGGATTCACTGTAGCGGCTCCAACCAAGCTAATTGTGGTCAAAAGTTCAAGGTCCAGTCTAACCTTTTTACAAAGCTCAGTCTAAGAGACTCCAAGGACAGCAACCATGTTTTTGCCTCACAGATACAGGTTTACAGGCCTTTAACTAAATGCACAAACTTTCAAAACACAGTTTGCAGGCAGACACCAAAATGTTCAGCCTACAAGTATATATATGCAAGCTTGCAACACAGAGTTTACAGTTAAAAATATGAATGCCCAATTTTCCAAGACTACAGTTAAAGATACAAACCCGTATTTTCATGTACACCTTTTGAATGATATATTCCATATTTCTTGACCCAGAGGTTTGCAAGCTTGAGGCTTCGCAAATGTTCATTCAGTTCTTTGTGAAATATGTAAAACTGGTGGCATTACGTCCACAACATGTGGCAAAGGCAACAAATGGGGAGTTGTCATGGTCGAACTCAAGTCTCATGGGAGAAGAAACCAAACAACTTAAGTCAGTCCATGGATTTTATTCTTTGATTACAATTTGAAAAACTGTATTCATAGAAATAAGATGTAAGTAGTTGGCATATGCATTTATTTGTACTTAATTATACATTGGTTGATATGATTCTATATTGCATTGTATTAAATGCTGTCATCTCAATATGCTGTGTCACAAATTATGCAATATACAGTGGAAAAATATTACAGTAGTACAATGCAGTCTTTTGTCAAGTAAAGATAGGTGTCTATTTAAAAAAATCTGCTTAACAAATTATTATCTAAAAGACAAATTGGCACTAGAATGCCTTTGCAACCATATTATTTGAAGTTTTCAGGATGATTTTTGTGCCCCTTTCCCATCATATTCTTTTTTGTATTCTTCTCTGGTTTCAGTAAGATAATGTAACATTTTGGAATAAAAATACAAATGAGCAGTCC